TTGTGCTTTCCTGCTGCTGATAGCTTGTGCTTTCCTGTTGCTGCTAGCTTGTGCTTTCCTGGTGCTGCTAGCTTGTGCTTTCCTGCTGCTGCTAGCTTGTGCTTTCCTGCTGCTGGTAGCTTGTGCTTTCCTGCTGCTGGTAGCTTGTGCTTTCCTGCTGCTGGTAGCTTGTGCTTTCCTGCTGCTGGTAGCTTGTGCTTTCCTGCTGCTGCTAGCTTGTGCTTTCCTGCTGCTGGTAGCTTGTGCTTTCCTGCTGCTGCTAGCTTGTGCTTTCCTGCTGCTGGTAGCTTGTGCTTTCCTGGTGCTACTAGCTTGTGCTCTCCTGGTGCTGCTAGCTTGTGCTTTCCTGGTGCTGCTAGCTTGTGCTCTCCTGGTGCTGCTAGCTTGTGCTCTCCTGGTGCTGCTAGCTTGTGCTTTCCTGCTGCTGCTTTCCTACTCACTCGTCTATGGTGCTGCTCAGATTTTAGGGCACTACTATGGATTTGGACTCTCCATCCTGTCTGTCCTCTGTGGATTCTTACTGTACCATGTTCTTATCAGGCATCTAGGTTAATGTGAAACTCCTTACGTACTTCCTAAGGCTGTTTCCTTGCTCTGTGGGCTGTCTTAGTAGATATTGTAAGTTACACCTCATGAAGTACTTTGTAGAATAGGCATCTTTGTTACCGCAACATGCACATTGTACAATGTACATGTACATGTACATTGCTTGTTCTGTATACACATCGATAGTACTATTCACTGTTCAAAATTTTAAGTCAAGATCCAACTTTGCAGACGTACATGTACATGTGGGTCTTTCCACACTAAATGGGGTACAAAAGTATGACATTGGATTTGGGTGATAAATCAGGATAATAATATCAAGCTACTGTACATGTATGTGTATATTTTGTCCTCTTGTTCCCTTTTACCAGTACATACTGTTACCTAGCCCATTGTTGAGGATTTTGCTCGCTAGGGACTTTCCTGGCAAATGTTACAAGATAGGCATGCTTATTTTGGCTGTTAGAA